TTCATCAAACAAGGGGAATTACATAGAGTTGCTGGATTTAGTGGCAGAATATGACAGCGACCTGCACACACACCTCGCCACATCAACAGTATTTACCGGCACATCTTCAAGGATTCAGAATGACCTGATCAGCGCTGTCGCTAGTGTAATGACGGGTAGCATGAAAGAGGAGCTGAGGAAGGCACCTTTTGTCGCGGTCATGTTGGATGAAACGACAGACATTAGCAACGTGGCGCAGATGTCATATGTGCTTCGATATGTCACTGACGATGGGATAAAAGAGCGTTTCTTCAAGTACGAAGATGTGACAGAGGACAAACGAGCAGAGGCCATAGCTACACGGCTGCTGGAGTTCCTGAGGGAGAGTGAGTTGAGTAAAGTTAGAACGATATTGGCAGATTCGGATTTCACGGATCAATAACTCATGAACAAAATGTTATTCAGACACAAATGACGTCTCCTAAGTATCGTGGTAAGGTTGACAACGAACTACAATCACATGTTGATAAAAAAAAAAGCCAATATGCGCCGTCCTCAAAACTGGACAAATTACATTGGTCTCTATCTGCAGCCGGAAAAGGAATGAGTGCTCAGGGACCGTCTGCAAAGTGCAACTCCGAAAAAAGAGAATACAATAATATTCAATAATATTCATTAGCGTCACTATTATACAGTGGAGTGCTACCAAACTCACTACACACATCAATAGTCTCCTGGTGGTTGGACTACAGCAGAGAGTTTGGAAGAATGTGCTTTTGAATAATTTTGGTGAATACTTATAGTGTAAAATCTTCAATAAATATGGTATAATCTTCAATAGCGTCACTATTATACAGTATATGTCTCCCAAACTCACTACACACATCAATAGTCTCCTGGTGGTTGGACTACAGCAGAGAGTTTGGAAGAATTTGCGTTTGAATAATTTTGGTGAATATTTATAGTGTAAAATCTTCAATAAATATGGTACAATCTTCAATAGCGTCACTATTATACAGTATATGTCTCCCAAACTCACTACACACATCAATAGTCTTTTTTTTAAATGTTTTTAACGAACTTAACTATTGCGGTAAAGCATAACATGTCCACCCTGTTATGCTCATTTTGTGTGGAAACTGATCAAAATGTTTACATTTAGAAAAAAATGTGAATATATCTATCAAATATCTTTCTCTGTTGTCACAAGTGCTAGCTTGATTATCATCACACATGTAGCAATAGCCAAGTTTAGCATGAAATGTCCACCTTGTTACCGTCTACCCTGTTACTATTTTTCACAGTAACAGGGTGGAATTATTTAAACATAATATCCTGAGCTTAACCAAAACATGTTTCTTATACTTTAACAAGCCATCATTCAGATTAAATAAAAAAAATTATGTTTTTTTATTTTTATTAACCTAGCTGAAGTTAGTTAGTATTTGATCAACTGAAATGTTACTGAATTAAAACTACAAACAAATGTTATTTGTTCCTGTGATGTAATATTACACATTTTAAAATGACAAATGACTATTTTTGCAAACCAAAACAAAAACCCAACTTAGTGTTACATATTTGAACACAGTTTTTTATTATATGTGCTTCTAAAAAGTTTACTTTTTATCTTTTTATATTGAGAAAAACTATTTCGCTTTGCCTTTCCTCCTTTAGGTTAGAGGAAGTTTGAAAATAATGGGAAGAGTTAAAAAAGGAAAGAGGGCCCAGAGGAAGGACTTATGGGCAATGGCTGGTGGAATGGAAGCATTGGTCCGAGGACTGAAGAGTGTTCACATTACCAAAAGAGATACAGGACATTCTTCATATATTTGGTCGGAACTCGCTATAATCCTTTTGGTCATGATGATAAGAAACACCGTCATTGGCTGTGGGTTGTATGGACCAACAATCGAAAAGGATTGAGGGATTTGATCAATAAACGTCAAAAATCATTAGAGCAGAAGGAAGTTCAGGTAATGGAGGAAAATCAAAACGAGAGAGATGTTGGAGGGGAATGTTCTGAAGACTGTCTTTCAAAGGACTTGCCTCTGAGCATGATTCAGCATAAGGTATCAGATGAGGACATAGACAAGAATGAGGCAGAAGACAAACAACAAAGGATGTCTTCTCAGAGTGGACTTGAAGATGACCAGTTATCAGATGAGGACATAGACAAGAATGAGGCAGAAACTGAAGAACAGAATTTGCAAAGAGGAGCACAAGATGTCAATAAAAACACAGGCACCAAAACACATTGGCGGAAGTTGCCAGTAGTATCTAAAAGGTTCGGAATAACAGTAAATAGAAAGAAATGGCAAAAGATTGTTCCTTTGACGGGTTCAAACAAACTGAGGCAACCGTGGACCGACGTGTTGTACAAGAGTTTCCGAGAGAAAAATCCCTGTTGTACGCTTGCCTTCAAGAGTCACCACATAAAAACTCCCAACAGCAGGAAAATTAAAAGTCCGTACTTAAACATCTGTGCAGTTTGTACATTCCCTTCCTGCAGGGCCAAATTCTTCTTTAAAATCCAAAATCAGCCAGTGGGAGACACCCTTGTTAAAATATCTGTGCTGCAAAGAGGGAAAATGGCACACAAAGCAAATGAGACAAAATTCCGACCAGCAGCAAACAGAAGAAGAGGCAGAATTGCAAGAGCCCTGCATAAAGGAGTGAGTCAAGTATTTTACAGTAAACTTAAAAAAACACCTGTTGCTGAACTGATTTCAGGAAACATAAGCCGTAGTCTGAACAAAAATGTTCTCAAAGTGAAACGTTCAGAAGTAAGAAGAGGTAAAAGAATCCATGAGGATGTTTTCATGGAGATGTACCTCACACAAATTATCATTAAGGAATGTGACTCAAATTATCGCAGGATGCCTGGGTACATACAGCATTTTCAAGTTGACCCATTTGGAGTACATATGTATTCTGAAACCGGAGTCAACACAGTTGTGCAACACCTGAGAAAGAAGACACCGCTGACCCTATATCTAGATGCTACAGGTAATGTTGCATCCAAAGATCCAGGTCAGACCAAAAGAGTGCTTTATTACTGCCTCACTCTTCCTGGAGGTGGTCAGCAAGTACCTCCCCTCCCAGTCTGTGAAATGCTGACAAATGAACACTCCATACCACCAATCACATTCTGGCTAATGCAGTTCCTCCGCAAACTGTCACAGTACACTCAAACTAAAGTACATCAGGTAGAAACAGACTACAGCTGGGCCCTGCTCCAAAGTGTTCTCCTTTCTTTTAACAAAGAGAGCATTGTCAGTTACTTGGACAGGGCTTTCGCTATCTGTTCAAAGCTGAAGTCATGGAAGGAAATCAAAATGTTGACAGTGCTACACATTTGCTCTGCACACGTGCTGAAAGCTGTAGCTCAGTCAATTGGGAGAAGGACTGCAGACAAGGGTTTGAAGGAATTTGCAACATTTGCATTTGCGAGGTTGCAAAATGCTACTTCAATGACCACAGCACTACACATCTTCCGCTCACTGTGCACTGTGTTGATTGGAAAGCACAATTCCAATGCTGTCCTGATCCATCTGAAAGCCATGAAGGACTTCATAAAAGAATGCAGGATTCCCGACATGGAAGAGGGGGACAAGTTAGGAGACAGTCCCTTAACTCAGGAGGAAGATGATGAAGAAAGAAGAAATGCCCACACAATTGTTGGCAGATCTCCCTTCACATATGAGTTTAGGAAGGTCATGGAGGAGGTACAGGGAGAGCTTGAAGAACAGGAGGTCGAAACCCCACAGGATGAAAATCCATACTTTTGCCCTGGCATTGTTGATGTCCTTTTTGACAACTATCTAGGGATGTTTCCCCTTTGGAGTGGGCTGCTGTTGGGGAATTTGAAAAGATATGCAACTGACACAGAGGAAGACACATTTGGCCAAAGTAAAACAAGGGACACAAACTGCCATGTGGAGAGATGGTTTGGAATAGTCAAACATTCTATTCTAAAAAAGCAGAGACGACTGAGGCCAGCGACATTCATCAGAAAGATGTATGGCTCTCTCCAGGGGAGGTACAGAGAACACATAATGGCACATCACTTATCTGAGCAGTTACTCCTCAAAACTTTGCTACCAAAAGACATCAGTCAATCGAAGGAAGGTTGGGCAAAGAGAGATGGAGCAAAGCCTCGCACTTCCAGCTCCAAATATTACACCACTCCAGACATTCTTCCAGTTCCAAAAAGAGCAAAGTTAACTCTGAACACTGGTGAAGATATTCAGAGCAGCACAGATGTGGAGAACAGCAGCAACCCCACAAGTAAAGGGTCCAAGCCTGCAACAGAGGTATTGTTTTGCTATATTAAAATGTATGCTTTAAAAAGAGTAACAAAGTAAGCAATTCTTCGAGCTATAAAAACAACGTTAAGAATGCATTAAAAACGTTTTAGCATGAGGCAATCTTTCTGTCATAGAAAACGTAGAAAATCTAAATGCCGAAATCTCGAATGCTGTACGAAGTTATTATGATACCATTGTTCATTTCATTTTAGGTTGATGCCCTTTGGACATGCAAACCAACTGAAGTTGTTGTGGCTGTTGTAAGACATGCTGAAGAGAAGCATAATTTCACCCTGAGGCACAGAGAATTTCAGAGTTTGAGACCTGACGAACTCATCATAGGCGAGGCAAGTATTTATTAAAACTTATGCTGTACCGGACTGCTCATCTCACGTAAGCCATATGTTAATGATTCAATTGTTGACAAAAAGTATGTAAATGATATCCAAGTAAATTGTTAGGCCAGTCCACCTGGAGTGTGACTTTAAATAGACCAGTTTTAATTGATCCATTCTAAAATGATCTGACAATGATGTGATTAAAACCGACTTTGGCCTCTATATTAGCTGGCATTTTGTATGACTATTTCCCCTACAATTTATCCAAAAGGTAATGGAATGTTACATTAGAGGCATCCTCAACCTGAAGGATAATGCTGGTCGTCTATATCTCCTGGATCACTATACCGTGGGTGTGATCCTACACGGCACACGAGAGCAGATAGCCAGGCAAGAGCTAAAAAAGGTGAGTGAAACTGATTATTCAAAGTATTTTCATCCCTTTAGTATTGTAGGCTTGAGAAAGGAGACAGATATGTGTCTACAGGCAACTTCCAGCGTTATTATATGTATGTCGTTTTTGGAGACATTTGTTTTGTTTTTAACCAATACATTTATAATCTAAGCTTCCCTTTTTTTCTTGTTCCTGTTGAGAAAAATAAAAAATGAATACTGTGTAAATTAAATTATTGTTTTGCACCTGTATATTATAGAAAATAACACTTATGTTTACATGTTCCCTAATTTTTTCAGGTGACATTTGATCTCTATGATGGAGCCATTGGATTTGTCAATATAAGAAATGTGCACTGGAAGTTTGTGGTGAGTATACAGCTACTCGTGTAGTCATACTGTAGCTGCTTTTAGAGTTTGCACATTTCAAGTTCATCAACTATTACTTTGAAGATGTATGATGATTACATTTATTCAAATGCATACAACTAAATATACATTGCTATTAAAACATATTGCAATACATTACTCATATACTGTGACAGAGTTAAGACTAACATGTGTATCTCATGCAGCCCCATTTTGTAAATGCATCTTTGCCTCAGGACTGATTTAAAAATGCTTCTTTTAGTTTTAATGTCTTCACGTTCATCTATATCATAGGGAAACCATATAACATGTAGTCCAAAATAAAGTACTCATTCAAACATTTTCTCATTGGTGGTCGCTACTGCTCCGCTAAAGATTTGAGTCTTCTGACCCCCAATTGTGCAACTTTCTTTCATCTGATATCTTTAATTATTTCAATACTTTTAAGTCTTAATTATACCCATTTAAAATGGGTAGTTATTATTTTAGTATTACTTTTAATAGCTTTTTTAACAGTTGAAGTGATTTTAATAACTGTGGTCTTCATTTTTGAAGAAAAGCTGATACATTATTGTTGCTGCTGACATATTGAAAAAGGTTTGGTTTAATTATACCGTATGCTACTTTTTAAAACAGTACCTCCATGCCCTTTCAAACCACATTTATGTGGTTGATCCTCTGCAAGGGTCAAATGAAGTTGAGGACTCCAGAAAGGCTGCTTACAAATTTGGGTAATATAAAATATATTACAGGAAATACATTGGTTAAACGCACATTTGGTAAAGGCAAAGAGTAAGCGCCAATTACATTTTATTTCCTCTTGTTCTAGAGAGTATTTCGAGATGCGCCGGAACAGACTGGGAAAAGAGGACTGGGTTAGCATCAAATGGCAGCCTGGAAAGATAACCCACACCTTCCAGAAAGATGCCACCAGTTGTGGAGCCTTTGTCATGCAGGTGATTTAATGCAACATGTTGTGTTCATTAATAATAAAGCATTTATTTTAAAGGGAAATTCAAAAACACGTCATAACGTCATGTTATTTTACCATCTGTCCAGATGGCCGAGATGACAGTGAAGGAATTTCCCAAAATTCCAAAGACGTTTCACATCAAGTCATCAAAACAATGTCTTCAACATCTACGAAGGGACATGGCAGAATAAATTCTCAGAGGATCAGGTATTAGCCAAAAATATGAAATGAATATATGGACGGCTTCCTGTAAATTGAACAGTAATACACCGGTTATTTTTTCAGTTTCAAAGGATGACTTCTGTTCCTTCTGTGGAATTGAGGACCTGCCCACAACTGCTGTTGATGCTGTTTGGGTGAGACTAAATGATGATTTTTTTTTGAAACTCCAGAAGATAATCTGAATAATAGATAATATATAGATCATCTGGAGTTAGATTTCAGGAATAACATAAAAGTAATGACATTTTGTATATTTGTATGCATTACAGGTTTCCTTTTGTTTTTCTTATAATTTGTTAAAGTTTTAGCACAGTACAGATAAACCTGAATAACAACAAATATTTATATATACTGTATATAAAAAAAAGTATAATCTCTTTAAAATATAAATGAATATGCCTGCTTTACAAGTGTCCTACACTTTACATTTTCTTAATATCTTTGTTGTATTTGTCCCCATGTAGATTCAGTGTGAAACTTGTGGGAGATGGTTTCACACGCAGTGCCTCGGAATGCCTGCTGCACGAATACCCAAAAAGAATACCCCGTGGTATTCTTTTTGTGTATCCTCACAAACTACAGAGGCTAGAGGTGAGTTTGTGTAACTTTTACCAGAGGTACCAGGATTTGGGGAGGTAAGGCTTGTAGTTTGAACTACTACCACAGTAGAAGTAGTGCACTTACAAACGGCATGTGGGGGGAAATCCAGCCCAGCCAGTGATTTGAAATCGGCTAAATGAAAGCTGAATTTTGTACAAAACAAATAAAAATCCAGAAAAAAGCTTTGCTAAAGATTTTGGACAACTGAAGTAATGATTAATATGTTACGGTGTGTGAAGCAGGTAGGACCCAAATGCAGATTAACGTGAAAATTCCTTTATTTCAAGGCTAGGATATAAACAAAGACAAAACAGAACACTGACCGACGAACTAGTCATGACACAAGACAAAACGACAAAGACAGACAGAAAAACCAGAACTTAAATACACACAAGACTAATCACACAAACAAGACACAGGTGAGGAGGGAGGAGAAAACACAGGGACACCAGGTGAACACAATCGGGTAATCAGACACACCAGGGAAACTAACGACAGGGAACCACAGACAGATCTAAATAGGACAAAACACAACGCAGACAGAAAACCAAAGATAGATCTAGACAAGACAAAACACCATAAAGACAGATCGTGACATAATAATCACCTGTCCATAGTTTTAACTTGTTATATTCTTAATTAAGATGTTAAATATATTTTCAATTACAGATTAAAGTAGTCACAGATGTTCATGATGTTTTCCATGTCTGACATTAGATTGTGGATTTGTTCATTAATATTGTACAGTAAGATAGGTGAAAAGCCTGACATTTTTTATTTTTCAATGTTAACTCTATTTTGTCTGTTCCATCATTCACCAGTAGTTTTCCATTCACCTGTCTCACCTGTTAACCACACCCACGTTTTTGCTCACTGTCTTTCTCTTCTGCACCCATTAGCTTTACTACCAGTATTTAAACCCTCACCAGACACACACCCGTTGCCAGATCGTACTTTGCCTTCATGCTAGTCTTTCACGCGTGTGTTACTAGATTGCCTACCCGGTTCCGACCCTGCCTGTCCCCGACCTGCCTGCTCTGCCTGATCCCTGATCCTGCCTGTACCTCCGTTGACCGCCTCACCTGCTCCCTGACCCTCTGCCCGGCCCTGACTCACCTTCTGCCCGCTGTCCTCTGGTTCGTTTGCCTGCCCATCATCCGGCTGATACTGTTCTGTTATCCCTCTGCTCTGGTATTATTACAAATAAAGTTCATTACCAATACTCCTTGGTTTGGTTTCTCGAGTGCTACATTTGGATCGTTCATAAGATTGTGACCATTTTACTGTTTCATAGCTAATGAAAAAGTTGTTTCATGTCTTAATTTATATATAACATACTGTAGCCTATATACAATGTGTAACATTGTATATACAGTATGTTATAATACATTATAAATCTTCCCCAAAATTATTCCAAAGCAGATTCTTCCAAACTCTCTGCTGTAGTCCAACCACCAGGAGACTATTGATGTGTGTAGTGAGTTTGGGAGACATATACTGTATAATAGTGACGCTATTGAAGATTATACCATATTTATTGAAGATTTTACACTATAAGTATTCACCAAAATTATTCAAAAGCAAATTCTTCCAAACTCTCTTCTGTAGTCCAACCACCAGGAGACTATTGATGTGTGTAGTGAGTTTGGTAGCACTCCACTGTATAATAGTGACGCTATTGAAGATTGTACCATATTTATTGAAGATTTTACACTATAAATATTCACCAAAATTATTCAAAAGCAAATTATTCCAAACTCTCTTCTGTAGTCCAACCACCAGGAGACTATTGATGTGTGTAGTGAGTTTGGGAGACATATACTGTATAATAGTGACGCTATTGAAGATTGTACCATATTTATTGAAGATTTTACACTATAAATATTCACCAAAATTATTCAAAAGCACATTCTTCCAAACTCTCTGCTGTAGTCCAACCACCGGGAGACTATTGATGTGTGTAGTGAGTTTGGGAGACATATACTGTATAATAGTGACGCTATTGAAGATTATACCATATTTATGGAAGATTTGACACTATAAATATTCACCAAAATTATTCAAAAGCACATTCTTCCAAACTCTCTTCTGTAGTCCAACCACCGGGAGACTATTGATGTGTGTAGTGAGTTTGGGAGACATATACTGTATAATAGTGACGCTATTGAAGATTATACCATATTTATGGAAGATTTGACACTATAAATATTCACCAAAATTATTCAAAAGCACATTCTTCCAAACTCTCTTCTGTAGTCCAACCACCAGGAGACTATTGATGTGTGTAGTGAGTTTGGGAGACATATACTGTATAATAGTGACGCTATTGAAGATTATACCATATTTATTGAAGATTTTACACTATAAATATTCACCAAAATTATTCAAAAGCAAATTCTTCCAAACTCTCTTCTGTAGTCCAACCACCAGGAGACTATTGATGTGTGTAGTGAGTTTGGTAGCACTCCACTGTATAATAGTGACGCTATTGAAGATTATAACATATTTATTGAAGATTTTACACTATAAATATTCACCAAAATTATTCAAAAGCAAATTCTTCCAAACTCTCTTCTGTAGTCCAACCACCAGGAGACTATTGATGTGTGTAGTGAGTTTGGTAGCACTCCACTGTATAATAGTGACGCTATTGAAGATTATAACATATTTATTGAAGATTTTACACTATAAGTATTCACCAAAATTATTCAAAAGCAAATTCTTCCAAACTCTCTTCTGTAGTCCAACCACCAGGAGACTATTGATGTGTGTAGTGAGTTTGGGAGACATATACTGTATAATAGTGACGCTATTGAAGATTATACCATATTTATTGAAGATTTTACACCATAAATATTCACCAAAATTATTCAAAAGCACATTCTTCCAAACTCTTTGCTGTAGTCCAACCACCAGGAGACTATTGATGTGTGTAGTGAGTTTGGGAGACATATACTGTATAATAGTGACGCTATTGAAGATTATACCATATTTATTGAAGATTTTACACCATAAATATTCACCAAAATTATTCAAAAGCACATTCTTCCAAACTCTTTGCTGTAGTCCAACCACCAGGAGACTATTGATGTGTGTAGTGAGTTTGGGAGACATATACTGTATAATAGTGACGCTATTGAAGATTATACCATATTTATTGAAGATTTTACACTATAAATATTCACCAAAATTATTCAAATTATTCCAAAGCACATTCTTTCAAACTCTCTGCTGTAGTCCAACCACCAGGAGACTATTGATGTGTGTAGTGAGTTTGGTAGAAATATACTGTATAATAGTGACGTTATTGAATATTATTGTATTTTCTTTTTTCGGAGTTGCACTTTGCAGACGGTCCCTGAGCACTTGTTTCATCTCCGGCTGCTGAAAGAGACCAATTTAATGTGTCCAGCTCGGAGGACGGCGCATATTGTTTTTTTTTTATCAACATATGATTGTAGTTCGTTGTCAACCTTACTACGGTACATAGGAGACATCATTTGTGTGTGAATAACGTTTTGTTCATGAGTTATTGATCCGTGAAATCCGAATCTGCCAATATCGTTCTAACTTTACTCAACTCTTGACAGCCTGCTAACCCAGATTTCCAACCGCTTCAGTGACCACAAAAAGCTGGAATTCCTGGCCCTTCTGGACCCGCAACAGTTCGGGCATTACTGTAACTATTTCCCAACTGCTGCCTTGAACAGTTTGATGGAGAGCTATGGCGGATATTTCGACCAGCCTCGACTGCACACGGAACTCGCCGTGATGTACGGCATGTCTGACATTTTGGGGAAAAGCCCAGCCGACATTCATCAGTTTCTCCTCAAAAAAGGACTGAGTGAAAGCATGAAACAGGTGTACACCCTCTCATGCATCATCCTGACAATACCTGTGTCCACTGCCTCTGTGGAGAGGTCCTTCTCTGCGCTGAAGCGCATAAAAAGCTACTCGAGGTCCACGACTGGGCAAGTCCGACTGTCAGACTTGGCCTTAATTTCGATCGAGAAGGAATTGCTGATTGCTTTAAAAGCAAAGGATCACCTGCATGACGACGCCATCAAGTTCTTCATCCAAAAAGACAGGAGGATGGACTTTGTGTTTAGGTGATTTGATCATCAAAGGTAAGTCAAAGTGATTTTCAATGTGGGGCCGCCGTGCCGACTTAATTCATTTGTAATTGTTACTTGGCTGTGGGTGCCCCTGTCATGATAGGTGTTTATATAAATGGTGTTGTTTTGTGTGGTAGAGGGTCGCTGTCATTGATGCGTTTTGCACCCCGGGCCGCTGTTTTGATATTCCGCTGAAGTCTACTATAGGCTGTGACGTAAACACTTTTTCTTTTTTTTTTCGAGGGAAAAGGGGGGTGGGGTCAGAGGGCCTAGGTAGAAAAGTCACGGCTCGCCACTGGTTAATTAATATATTTGGCAGTTTGGAGTGAGTCTGTAGATTTGTTTGTGTGTGTGTGTTTCACGTATAGGCCTCTCAAGATAATTAATTTTGTTGGATACATTTTCCCGGAAATTATTGCGATAAACGATAATATTGTCGGCACGGTTAGACCACTGACATAATGATAATATATAACAATAATTCAAGTACATCCTTTCAAACTGCTAGTCACATCCTCATGTAAATGGCAATTTATCGAGGTCAGAAAAGTTATGGAGTTCATTTTTATTTATCGTATGATAAGTCAATTAATTGCTTATCGCGACAGGCCTATGCACACAATAAAACAGTGGAAACAAACACGTGTTTGACTTTCATTAGTGAATGAAACGTTGTGCCCTTTATAGTCTGAGTCCAATATTGTGTATTTGTTTTATTATTTATTATTATTATTTATTATTATTATTATTTATTATTTATTGTATATATATATATATCCTATATATCTATGCTAAGGTCCCGCTACTGACACGATTCATTTAGTGCGATTATGTGTAATTAAACCCATATACCTCCCCGGGCTGCGATCGGCTATTCTCGTCTACTTTCGAGGCGAGCCGCAACTCGTCTCAAACAAGCCTGATGTATGAAGTCAAACTGCCAGACTCCATTTTACACTTCGTCAGAGCAGGAGGAGGAAAGCACGGTGAGTGTCAAAAACCAGGCTCTGCTGGTTTTTTAACACATTAAATAACATTAACTATTTACTCTGTTGAACTGTATGTCAGAAAATACATATTCTATACAATCAGCATCCTGGAGTCCAAGGTGATATCTTCAAATGTTGTAAACTTTTGCATTTCCTGGTTTGTGAGTCATCAAAGCAACATAACATGTCGCAGCACAGCGCAGTCAAAATGGAGAGCAGCCTGCCTGAAGTCTGACTGATTTGTTATAATGAAACCAAAGTTTATCATAATGATGATTTTGATTTAAACAAGTGTGTGTGTGTGTGTGTGTGTGTGTGTGTGTGTGGTGTTACTGGTTTACCTATCAGACTGGAGAAGATGAGTGATTTTAAAGATGAGGAAGAGGACACATCCTCAGTCTCCAGCTGTCTGTCTCTGAAGAGTGAACGGTCTGAAGAGGAACCTCCAGACTTCAGTGATGAACCTGGACCCTCAGACAGGAAGTAAGAGTCTGTTTCTACTGTGACCTGAAGAGGATTCAGTTTTTATGTAATCTGATAATCTGAACTGTTCTTTAATAACCACATTCGTACAATAAAGAAACACAGTTGATTACAGTAAAGAAGTTGAATTGATCTATTGATGTGCTCCATGGTTTTACCAGCGATAGTAAATAATCTACTTTGGTCAAATCATTTTCACATTTGACATTTAAGACTTTGTGTTAAGTCTGTTAAGCACGACACCAAAACAGAAAGTTCAGAGCAAGTCCAAAAATCAGACATTAGACTAAGTAACAATATATTCCCAAAGATCTTGATTCTGTGATTATAATTCTAAATACATAGCTATAATGTAGATTTTAACAATGTGGGAAAACTAATGTAAAGTGCTATAAAGGATGTGTTCATCTCCACAGAGGGAAGAGGAAGAGTCCTGTTCCTGTGGAGGAGCAGCTGTCCAGCTGTGCTCTGTGTCAGGACGTCCTGAAGGATCCAGTCTCTACCAGCTGTGGACACTGGTTCTGCAGAAAGTGCATCACCTCATACCGGGAGCAGAGACCTCCATCAGGAGACTCCTGCTGTCCTCGGTGTGGAGAAAGATGCAGCATTTTACAAAGTAAGAGGCCGAACACGTTCAGCATCTTTACCGCCGTCTGGGCGCTGGGTGTCTGCTATTGTGGCAACTTTTATGAATGCATCGAACCATCGAATCTTTTTCTTGTTGTTTTTGTTTTTTAATTGTGTATTAAAATTATTTCTGAGGAACAGCAATATTTTTTTCATAGAAAGTGCTGTTTTTAGACGGTAGATGTCCGGTAGGCTCCTACTAGTGTCTTCATGTCCAGGATTTTTCTTGTTTCATTTTTGTTGGGTTTAATATTTAGTTGTAAAGCATAGACGTTAGAATATTTTATGAAAATATAAAAAACACATTTTTTAACCCTGTCTCTATTTGTCTGGTTTATTGTTTTCAAAATAATTTCCTGATTCTCTCATGTTTCCTTCTCTTCCAGCAGATCGTGGTCTGCAGGAGGTTTTAGATGAACATAGGCTCAGTCTGAGGAGGAGATGTGAACGTGTGACTGAAGGAACTGATGAAAGTGAAACCCTCCTCAACAGGATCTTCACTGAGCTCTACATCACACAAGGCCTCAGTGAAGAGGTTAATACCCAGCATGAGGTGAGTCAGCTGGAGACAGCTTCCAAGAAGAAGACCCTCCATGACACTCCAATCAAGTGCCAGGACATCTTTCAAGCCTCACCTGACCAACAGACTCCCATCAGAGCGGTCCTGACCAACGGAGTCGCTGGAGTTGGAAAAACCTTCTCAGTGCAGAAGTTCACTCTGGACTGGGCCGAGGGTTTGGGGAACCAAGATGTCAGTCTGGTGATCCCGCTCTCCTTCAGGGAGCTGAACCTGATCAAAGGTGAGCAGTACAGTCTTCTCAGGCTGCTCCATGTTTTCCATCCAACCTTACAGAAGGTCACAGCAGAGCAGCTGGCTGTCTGCAAAGTGCTGTTCATCTTTGACGGCCTGGATGAAAGCAGACTTTCTCTGGACTTCAGAAACAATGAGGTTGTGTCTGATGTCTCACAGCAGTCCTCAGTCAACGTGCTGCTGACAAACCTCATCAGGGGGAAGCTGCTTCCCTCGGCTCTCGTCTGGATAACTTCCAGACCTGCAGCGGCCAATCAGATCCCTCCTGAGTGTGTGGACAGGGTAACAGAAGTACGAGGCTTCACTGACGCCCAGAAGGAGGAGTACTTCAGGAGGAGATCGAGTGATGAAGACCTGTCCAGCAGAATCATCTCTCACATCAAGAGCTCCAGGAGCCTCCACATCATGTGTCTGATCCCAGTCTTCTGCTGGATCACTGCTGCAGTTCTGGACCACATGTTGACTACAGACCAGAGAGGAGAGCTGCCCCAGACCCTCACTGACATGTACTCACACTTCCTGCTGGTCCAGACCAAGAGGAAGAAGCAGAAGTATGAAGAGGGACATGAGACGAGTCCACAGCAGCTGACGGAGGCTGACAGGGAGCTTCTTCTGAAGCTGGGGAGGCTGGCATTTGAACATCTGGAGAAAGGAGACATCATGTTCTACCAAGAAGACCTGGAGCACTGTGGCCTTGGTGTCACCGAGGCCTTGGTGCACTCAAGAGTTTGTACAGAGATCTTCAAAAGAGAGAGTGTGATCTTCCAGAAAACAGTTTACTGCTTTGTTCATCTGAGCATTCAGGAGTTTCTGGCTGCAGTCTACTTGTTGCACTGTTACACCAACAGAGACACAGCGGTACTGAAGGACTTCCTGAAGAGAGTCTGGGACGAAGACAACAGTGATAGCAGTGATGACAGCAGTGATGATGATTACCCATCCCTGGATGTCTTCCTTAAAGGAGCCATGAAGAAATCCCTCAGAAGTAGAAATGGCCACCTGGACCTGTTTGTCCGCTTCCTCCACGGCCTCTCTCTGGAGTCCAACCAGAGACTGTTAGGAGGCCGGCTGGGTCGCACAGACAACAGACCAGAAACCATCCAGAGAGCCATCAGCAACCTGAAGGAGATGAGCAGTTATAACATCTCTCCTGAGAGGAGCATCAACATCTTCCACTGTCTGACAGAGATGAAGGACCACTCAGTACATCAGGAGATCACAGAGATCCTGAAGTCAGAGAACAGATCAGAGAAAGAACTCTCTGAGATCCACTGCTCTGCTCTGGCCTACATGCTGCAGATGTCAGAGGAGGTTCTGGATGAGTTGGACCTGAGGAAGTACAAAACATCAGAGGAGGGACGACGGAGACTGATTCCAGCTGTGAGGAACTGCAGGAAGGCCAAGTGAGTCCAGATGTGATTAACTTTATAAACTAATGTAGATCAGAAGTTTAGCTCTTCCAATAAACATTATAACATTACTGCTGCTTCAAATACTTTGAGAGCAAAATAAAATGAACACAGTAATTCTATTTATTATATTATTTGTTACCTTTTACAGTTTCTTCTCTTCATATTCCTTTTTGTGAGGCAGTTGACACCCAGTCATGTCAAACTGAAGGACTTTAGAGGTTCAGGTTTAATCAGCAGCATGTCACAACATACAGCAGTATTTTACAGTAATCTGTGATTTCATTTAAGTTATTAATATTTGTTTCAGTTTCTTCATCATTTTCTTTTACCACAATGCTCAGTGTTTCCCCTAGGATGGAGTCATAGCAGCGGTACGGGCCCAGCATAATGTTAGCGCGGACCGCGTGGACATTTTTAGTGTGTGCGCGCCGCCAATTTGTTTCTATGTGTCAGCACAAGAAAGGCTCTTGAGGCCTAGTACCAGGGCCGGTTCTAGACAATTTGCTGCCCTAGGCGAGATTTTATATGTAAAGAATAAATGAAAAATCTCTACAAAAGGCAAATACACTACAAAAACAGAAACTTATTGACATAGGTAATATATAGAGATGTCCGAATCCGATCACGTGATCGGGGATCGGAGCCGATCACGTGATTTTCAAAAAATCGGAATCGGGAAAAAAGATCGGGGATCGGGAATTATTATTATTTCATTTTTATAAAATATTTGTATTATTTTATTTAATGTTACAAAACAAAAATGACCATGTTCACGTCTTAAAGTCATCCTGAGGACTTAGTTTTGGTTTGAAATGACTCAACATCATGTATGTGTTGCTTTCTTTGGGCTTGTTCAGACCTGGTTGCTTATTCTTCTCAAAGCAACAGAGTGGGCGCAGTGTCTAATAGTAGCAGCAAGCTAACGAGAGGCTACGTTCAGCTGGTGACTCGGGAGTCGGGACAGAGAAAATGTCAGGAGTTTGGAAGTATTATAAAATTGAAAGCGAAGGCAGTGTAACAGCCAGATGCAATGTTTGCAAGGCGGAGGTTCCTCGTGGTGGAAAGAACAGAGCTACGTTCAACACGACCAATCTAATACGCCACCTGAGAAACAAACACCAACAACAACACGACGAGTACACAGCGGCCACTCAGGGAACGGCACTGAAACAACCGACACTTTCAGAGACTTTCAAAAGGAAAGAGAAACTGCCCCAGAACAGTGACAAGGCCAACAAAATAACAGCCAAGAGAGCTGAATTCATCGCGTTGGATGACCAGCCGTTATCTGTTACCTTTGTTTTCTCTTAATGCATTGCATAAAGATCGGATCGGGAAAAATCGGTATCGGCAGATTGTCAAAATCAAACGATCGGAATCGGATCGGGAGCAAAAAAAGGTGATCGGGACATCCCTCGTAATATACGTCAAAATGGCTTCAAATGTATTCACTATTGTAGGAACATGTTTGAATTGGGGGGGTGGACGTCACATCCTCTAGGCGGGGGTCCGGGGGTATGCCCCCCCGGGAAGATTTTTTTGAACATTTTAAAGTAAAATGCTTCAATCGGGTGCACTTTGAGCACACAATTACTAGAGACTGATCTAGGGGGTACAACTCTAAACACCCATATGAAAAAGATCGGTTTACATTTTAATAATCAAATAAGTATGTGAACATAACCAATAACCTACCATAGCCAATAACAAATACATGTAGCTTATTTTATTTTTGTTGTTCATTCATATCTTATTTTACCTTAACATTTATTTATTTATGCATATTTTTGTATCTCTCCAACTTTAAACGATATTTTTGGTTTACTGTCCTATTGTATACATTGGAATGATTTCAAACATGTTTTTATTGATCCTAATAATTATAAAGGAGTGCCTTGGAAATATGTGTTTACATAATTTGTGGTCAAAACGTTTGAGACTCACTGAGATAACTTAGACTAAAATTAACTATCTGAACACTCAGAGTCCTTTACCTCACTGAGCCTCTCAGTCTGACAGGAGAGCTCTAGAAACAGCTACTTCTTATATCCGTTAGCGCTGCTAGCACCAGATGCTAATAACAACAGCGCCGGTACCGGTGCGCCCTCTCTCTTTCTCCTTCGCTCGCTCGCTCCCACGCTCGCACTTTGGCTGTGAGCTGCGGGCGCCTGATAAGCCAACATCCCCCACGTTCATCACTTACAGCGCCCATCGTACAGGGCAAATGAAAAGTGTAACCGGGGTGAAAAGGGTGTTACATTTACTTAATTATGAATATTGTTACATCAAGGCCGAAAATTAGGATGAGCCCCAACGGTCAAAAATGTTTTTTCCCTCCCAGAGCTGCCAGCGCAGCGCCTCCACAGATCTGGTGCCCTAGGCGACCGCCTGTGCCAAAAATCGGCCCTGCCTAGTACATACAGTGGCAATGTCTCAACATTTAGCAAAAATACACCTTTATTGAACAAACAGTAACACAAATACTACAAATCCACATAACAAACAATCAAAAATGAAAAAGGGTCGCCACTTTTTTTGTTTTTTTGGGTACTTGGCTGACAGCTAGCAGCGGCGCGCATATTTCAGCAGCAGCGCTGCGCCGCCACTATTTGTATATAGGGGAAACACTGATGCTTATTATGGATCTTGCTGAAAGAGAAGAGAATTAGAGTCCTCAGTAGCTCGCCATCTGCTGGGGTCTGATCAGCCCCGGCTGGGTCGCCTGGAGGAGGGGGTAGATGTTGAAAAAACGTAAACACCCGATGATTCCAGAAACACCACTGAAGATGTGTCCTAATGCATCAGTAGATGTATGTTGAGAGTTTAGAATAAGCTCTAACAGGCTGACAATGCATTTATCACACTCATAGATATATTACATGGACTAACACTGAATGTTAATCAGAACATGATATGTAAAATGTTTGTTATCAAATGCTTGAAGGTTATAATGTTTCCTCTTTTTTATACTAACCTGTGTTGTAATATGTGTTATTATAGACTTTCTGAATGTGGGCTCTCACAGACTGAATGTGAAGTTGTGGCCTCAGCTCTGAAGTCCGACCCCTCCCATCTGAGAGATCTGGACCTGAGTTGGAACAAGCTGAAGGATTCAGGAGTGGAGCTGCTGAGTTCTGGACTAAAGAGTCCAAACTGCAGACTGGAGACTCTCAGGTCAGTTCACTGACTGCAGTCCATACTGATCTGTTTGTGTTTATGATTAAGAACATTTAAATTATTTCATATGATTTCTGTTTTGCTAATGATGGAATATCTAGCAGAATAACACACATTATAGAAGGTCAATGTGTGAGAAGAGAGTGTTTGAGCTTCCACAGACTCTCACTGTGCTCCATGAGTCAGTGAAGACACTGTCAGGACTGATGAGCTGTGAGGGAGATGAAGGAGTTCAGGTTAGGTCAAAGATCTGATGACAGAGAGAAACTGCTTCAGAGAGTTTGAGCTCAGATTATCTTAGATTTGAATCTACGTCATTGCTGAAAATAACACATTGTTCAGCTCTGAACCGATTATTAAACTTTTAGTTATTTAAAGAAAGTTACATCATGTATTCTTTATTCAGACTGGTGACTCTCAGTTCTCCATTTGTAACTTCTGTGCTGAGGTTAATATGTGAGAGTTGTGTTGACTCTGAGCTGCAGACATCAGGCTGATATCACTCTGATCCTCACTGAGCATCTTAATGCTAAAGTCTATTTCTTCTTCTGTGGTTTCGTTCTTTGACTGTGGCAGAGCGATGACGAGCGTTAGATTTAAGGAAACATTCTACACTGCGTAATTCACTCTGAACCTCTAACATCATCTTTTAATTAAATGATATGGAAAATACTTAAACACAATTACACCCTAACAAATGTATTCACTATACAAACAGGAACTTTGTTTTCTAAAGTTACATCACGTTTTCTTTATTCAGACTGAGTGGCTGTAGGTTGTCAAAGATCCGCTGTTCTGCTCTGATCTCTGCTCTGAAGTCCAACCCCTCCCATCTGAGAGATCTGGACCTGGGTTTCAACGCTCTGAAGGATTCAGGAGTGGAGCTGCTGAGAGATCTTCTGGAGAGTCCAGACTGCAGACTGGAGACTCTCAGGTCAGTTCTCCATCTGTAACTTCTGTGCTGAGATGAATATGTGAGAGTTGTGTTGACTCTGAGCTGCAGACATCAGGCTGATATCACTCTGATCCTCACTGAGCATCTTAATGCTAAAGTCTAACTTCTTCTTCTCTGGTTTAGTTCATTGACTGTAGCAGAGCTATGTTGAGCTTTAGATTTAAATATAACAAGAAAAATATAACACTGCATAATTCACTCTGAACCTTTTAAACATCTTATATTCTCTATCATGTTTTTGAATAAATTATATAAATACATAAATACAATCCCACCCTAACAAAGTATTCAGTGTTTTCTGTTTCCAGAGGTGGAAGAAGTACTCAAGTAAAAGTAGCAATACTGCAGTGTACAAATACTCAGTTACAAGTAAAAGTCCTGCATAAGTAAAAAGTTATAACATCCTTTCTCTGCCACTACCTGCTTTGGTGTCTCAACTGTAGGGACACCTGTTTGGTCAACACTATAAATCAAGTTTGGAGAGAATGTATCATGTGATCTCTTTCACAGCCCACATGCTGAACCCTTGTCTTGTTGTCCAGTTGTTTGGTACAGGAATGTTGTTTCTGTCTGTAATTCAAAGACCAGTTCACAACATCTCTTTGGAGTAAGGCCGTGGAACTGGTCAGACAGTTATTAGTTCTAGTCTGCAAGCTCCTCCTCTCTGCTGTTCCACTGTACCCTACTCTTTCCACTTCCTGTCCTCCTTCCTTTTTAAGTATCTACTCAGGGTTGACCTGTCAATATTTCTGTCTTTTGCCACTGCTCTGATGGATTCTCCAGCCTCGCCATGAGTTGCTGCTCTCTCCATCTCCTCACTCTTTCTCTTGGACTTTCTTGGCATGATGGGTTTGATACAATGTTTAAAACATAAAAAACATATCAGTTGTGTAAAACTACATTTAAATACAAGTTTATACTACAGAGACTTAACTTAACTCCAGTTACTCAATGGGGGATAAGTATACCCACTGTCTCAATTTACCCACAGCATTTGGCTCCCTTTTCCCCACTGCCACTTCTTGGGGAAAACAACTGTCTAACTTAGTCAATTGTGCTAATCTTTAGCTGAATGATTCAAATGATTTTACACCTTGCTCAATAATTAAACCTGACATATTGAAATGTTACTTTGAAAAGTAAAAAACATGGTTTATTGTGTAAAAAAAACCATTTACCACTTTACCATGTGCTTCTCTCCCTCACAGTGAAATAGAAATGATGGGTGCTTCCTGAATTTATGGTCACATGACAACAAATGTGCACAGTTGCCTGGATACAGGGGTGGGTCAACTTACCCTCTGGCTCATCCCACTCTCCCCTGCTGGGTAGCTTTACTTTTATAATATATAATAATGTGGGTCGATTTAATTTGTTTAATTAATTAACAAAATCTGCAAAGTAACTAGTAACTAAATATATAACATAAGTTTAGGGAGCGACAAGTTCAACGTTTGCCTACAAAATAGTGGAGTAAAATGATAAAGTAGCCACAATTCTTGTTTTGCCATTGCTTATTATTTCTATTATTATCTTTATTTGTTTACACCATGTTTAATTCTTATTGGTTACCACTGGCAACTGTCCCATGGGTGTGGTTTATTGCCATGAGTCACCTGTTGGATGCTGGTTTTGTGTATGACTAAGAGGACAGGCTGAATATCTCCGACACTTTCTGTTGACTGAGGTCCGGACTTGGATATTATTATTTTTTCCCGTTATGAAACATTGTTAAATCTAACTACAGTACGGACTCTTGTATGGAACGTATCACAGTGAAGAGCAACGTTTAAGCCTCTCAGCGGCATAACTCATACCAACACACTCTCACTCCATAATCGTCCAGGAGCGACGTTTGGTCAGGGTCCGTGGCGTGCAGTTGTGACGCTCCTAGGCTCCTTCAGCTTCATAAAGGGACGCAAATAGCTTTCAACTGATTGCAATGTATTCCCATCTGCGGCGGGATTTGACGCTCATGGAAGCACGGCATTCGTTTGTGTCGGCTGCCCTTAAAGGCAATGCGAGCGTCCATTCCCATTGGATAACGGAGAATTGTACACACGGAAGTAAGTATTCCCCTTACTGTCGATTGATTTTACAGTGATATCTGCACTACTCATCGACTAAAAAACACCAGATTATCCTTGTTAATTACACAACATTGATTGGTTTAAATCAGGGGTCGCCAACACGGTGCCCGCGGGCACTCAGTCGCCCGCAGGGGCAACGGGAGGCGCCCGCCGGGCACGTTCTAAAAATAGCTCGCCAAGCAAATCCAAAATGTAAAAAATACACAAAACTAAAAAGGAAATGTAATTAAAAGAATCGACCCCATGCATAAATGAAACCTAAATCATAGCGAACTCTATCTACTTACTACAACTCTATATCTATCTAACACCCCTCCTCCCCCACCCCCACAATGAATATCGACCAATCACGTTCTTGCTTGATTTGCGGGACCAGCGTTGCAGTCGGGAAGAAAAGCAATGTGGCACCTCCCCGCTGATTTTCCTTCTGGCAGAATCTACACATCAGCCCCATTGAACAGCCTATCATGCCAGCCTATACTGCACATGAGGGGCAGAGTTTTACTGTGTGTGTTGTAACTTGCATATTTATTTATTCCACTTGACGCACACACACGCATGGCGTAATCTCCAGGGGGGACATGTCCCCAGCACTTTTCGAAATCCCGTTTGTGTCCCCCCACTTTACAAATATGTTTATTATTATTTTTTAACGCAAGCCGTCATCGCCACGGAGGAGCACACCTGTGTGTGTGTGTGTGTGTGTGTGTGTGTGTGTGTGTGTGAGTGAGAGCACCCCTTTATTAATATAGATAAAGTAAGAAATCATTCCAATGTGTGCTTTCGGACAGTAAACAGTTTCAAAGGGGAGTGATTAGTAAAATATGCATAAAGAAAAAGAAAGAATGCTAACTAGGTAACATAAGATAAAAATAAACAAGTTTAAATGATTTGTTATTGGTTGTGATCATATTCTAAAGATGTTTGGATTATTGAAAAGTATACAGCTCCCTTTCATCTGAGAGTGGAGAGATGTGTCCATAAATTCATTTTGTGCTCCAAGTGCACCAGATTGATGCATTTAACTTCAACATTTAAAAAAAAAAATCTTCCCGGGGGAGCATGCCCCCGGACCCCCCTAGAGGAGGTGTGGACCCCCCTAGAGGAGGTGAGGTCCCCCCTAGAGGAGGTGTGGACCCCCCTAGAGGAGGTGAGGTCCCCCTTGAGGAGGTGTGGACCCCCCTAGAGGAGGTGAGGTCCCCCCTAGAGGAGGTGTGGACCCCCCTAGAGGAGGTGAGGTCCCCCCTAGAGGAGGTGAAGACCCCCCTAGAAGAGGTGTGGACCCCCCTAGAGGAGGTGAGGTCCCCCCTAGAGGAGGTGTGGACCCCCCTAGAGGAGGTGAGGTCCCCCCTAGAGGAGGTGAAGACCCCCCTAGAAGAGGTGTGGACCCCCCTAGAGGAGGTGAGGTCCCCCCTAGAGGAGGTGTGGACCCCCCTAGAGGAGGTGAGGTCCCCCCTAGAGGAGGTGTGGACCCCCCTAGAGGAGGTGAGGTCCCCCCTAGAAGAGGTGTGGACCCCCCTAGAGGAGGTGAGGACCCCCCTAGAGGAGGTGAGGACCCCCCTAGAGGAGGTGAGGACCCTCCCAAATAAAGAAGTTTAAATAATTAAATTGAATACATGTTCTTTTAGTAAACACTGCAAACGGGTCCCACAGACCCAAACAGCACAAAGGTTAAAGGTCAGCATAATAATAATGTTAAAATGTGCTAAATATATACACTGCAAAAAACAAAAAAGAGGAGTAAAAGTAGCTCACGACTTGTTTTAATTTTTGAAAGTAGCTCTCACCCTAAAAAAGGTTGGTGACCCCTGGTGTAGATGGAGCAGAGTCTCAGATGTGAAGTCTTTTTTGTATTGAAGTAGCTGCACGTTGTCTTTAATGTGAATGAGAGCTCTTTTCCTCTTTCTGTGTCTCACAGTTTTTAACCTGTTGGAGTTTCCACTTTCTGAACTCCTTCAGCTCTGATCAGATTATTAAACCTGGAGTTATTTCAAGCAGGAACATTGTTTTCTAAAGTTACATCATGTTCTCTTTATTCAGACTGAGGGGCTGCAGTTTGTCAGAGATCAGCTGTTCTGCTCTGATCTCAGCTCTGAAGTCCAACCTCCATCTGAGAGATCTGGACCTGAGTAACAACGATCTGCAGGATTCAGGAGTGGAGCTGCTGAGAGATCTTCTGGAGAGTCCAGACTGCAGACTGGAGACTCTCAGGTCAGTTCACTGACTCTCTGTTACTGCTGGAGAACTCATGTATTATAAACAGTTTAATCAAATGCTTATACATTTATTTAGTATATGTCATTTTGTTCATATTTAAATTGTTCTTGTACTACATTTAGTCTGCAGTCATACAAGTTGACTGTTCCTAAGGAAACATTTTAAATATCCACTTTTAGTTGTTAATGTAAATGTAGTTTTTCAATCTTTAGTAAATGGTCACATCTGAATGAAGAAGGTCATCTGAACTAATATTAGTTTGACATTGATAAAGTTTACTTTCTGAAGTATAAATGTTTTTCTTGCTTTACATTCATTTCAATGTGTTTTCTCAGATAATAAACAGCAGGCTGATATTATGATGATCAAAGTCATTCAGTTATTGGATTGGATTATAAATGGATTTTACATTTTTTATCCTCATCATGTTCTCTTCATTCAGACTGAGGGGCTGCAGTTTGTCAGAGATCAGCTGTTCTGCTCTGATCTCTGCTCTGAAGTCCAACCCCTCCCATCTGAGAGATCTGGACCTGAGAGACAACGAGCTGCAGGATTCAGGAGTGGAGCTGCTGAGAGATCTTCTGGAGAGTCCAGACTGCAGACTAGAGACTCTCAGGTCAGTAAGGGGTCTCTGCTGGTTCAGCAGTATTGTATTAAACTCAGGGAGGTGTTTCTCTCTCTGGGGAAACAGATCAGTGATGTTTCCACTGACTGCAGGTTCTCTCATTCTTCCATCAATTATATATTGTAAGCTGAAAATGCAAAGCCACATTTAGTTAGTAAGAAACTTTCTAACAGACTTATGGGATTTTACAGAAGAGTGGAAAAGGTTCTCTGTTTTGTTTCCTGTCATGCTTTTAGTTTCTAGACTAACGAGCAGTTACTTCCTGTCATGCAGCTGAGAGCTGAGGCAGGCAGTCGTAGTGTTTGCAGAGAAGATATGATGGGATGTAAAGCAAGAGATCAGGACTCTGAAGCTGACTCAAAGAACAAACACTTATTTTAAACTGGATCCAAAACTGTTGGATTGTGTTCATCCCCACAGGATCAATGGTGAGACGATCAGAGCCAAGACCCAGAAGACCTGTGAGTACTGAAACCATGTCCTCCATTCATCCAGACATTGTACATTAAATCTGATCTTAAAAGCATGCCCTCATAGAGCAACAAAACATTTGTTTTAATTCCATTTTCATTTAGTTGTTTAATGTTTCCCTTTCTATAAGTTTTATTATCATTACTTTTCTCTGTCACCTCTTCTCTCAGGTGACTCGGAACAGGAAGTGAAGACCGGCAGAAAGGTGAGCAGTTATACAGAGTGAAGTTTATTTATTATTGTTTCATCACTGAATCAAATGTAATTATTGCTCATTATTTTTCCGGGATCCAGAGAAAGATGCGAGCTATTCATAAACATAGACTAGAAAACAGTACATTTTGGGAAATGAAGAAATATATAAAATTATGTACTCGTCTGCTGTCCTGCCACAAAGTGCTGTGATTGGCTGGTGGGCTACAATGGTTGCTCAGCGCTATCTCATATGTTAACCCGTTAGTGACCAACAGATGAGAGGAGGAGCAGTGTAGAGTGCAAAGTAACTATAGAGGTTTCACCACTGAATAAAATGTCATAGCTGTTCATTGGGATCCAGACAAATCTTAGTCTCTGTTTTATATTATATTTTCTACTTTCTTGTTTATTTCTAGTCTTCTAATTGTTATTGTACAATGCCATGTCTTTTTATGCTGCTGCAACACAAACATTTCCCACATTGGGATCAATAAAGTACTTCTTATCTTTATTATCTTCTTTTAATTGTTGTGAAATCAACAATGAACCGAGAGGGGGAGGATCTTTTTGACTAATTTCGATTTTTGATGTGGTTTTCTGATGTTATGCTCTGTAGTTTATGTTCATTGAGTTGAACTTGATTTCTATTAAAATAACCAACTTTGTGTCTATCATAACTCCAGGCTCCAGTTTCCTTCTCACCTGAACACACATCTGAATCTTCATACAGGTAATCCTATAACCTGCTCCTTCTACTTTTTTATGTAAGTATTTATGTAATCATCTTTATTTGATGTCATGCCTTTTACCGTGAGGTATTGCATCCAATCTCTTTCCAGCAGACATATATAATATAATGGCTCTATGTGTAAGATGGTATACAGCAGTGGTTCTCAACATTTTCTAGTCTCAACCCCTCAGAATAATCCGGTCGGTGTCCTCCGACCTGCTGGAAGTCCCCCGTCAGAAACTCTTGTGCACACACTCTGACTCTCACTCAATAACACCTGTTTTCAGGCTAATGATGTCACCAGTACAGGTGAGTTATTTCTAGAGCTAAAATATGTGAGTTTCAACCACTGTGAGATTAGTGTGTGAGATCGTCAGGTGTTCCGTGGGAAATCGATTTAGTTGCTGAAAATAATTTGCCAATTTTAAGAGTCTGTGCCTGCAATATAGTGGCTGGCTAGGTAATGAAATACTCTTCCATGCCAGTGGGTAGCAGAAGGTAACTTGTTAATTTAAGACAGTAGAGTTAAGTGATGCGCGGGAGAGGTTGCAGAGACAAGACGAACAGCAATGGATAAATATCAAATGCTAGGGTCATCAGAATCAGAATACCTTTATTAGTCCCACAGAGGGGAAATTTGCAGCGTTACAGCAGGAAAGTGTTGTTGTTGTAGTGTTGCATATCTTACATGCGTTAAAAAAGTTATAATATAATAAACAATATGCTAAAAAAGTACTAAGTTATAATATAATAAACAATATGCTAAAAAAAGACAAAAACAAAAAAAGTTACATAATTTTCAAAAACAAATCAAATCCTGTAGCAGTTCTTAGGATTTAGCAGCCTGGTATATATTACAGTTATTAACAGGCATGAAAATCACTCACCTTTCGGCGAAATTCGCCGTTTTGAATCCAAAATAGGTCGTTTGTGTGATTCACGTAGATCTGCAATAAAAATATTTTTGGGGTATGGGGGGGTCTGGGACCCGGACTCTGCGGCCGCGAGCTGTTATGTGCCATCATGACAAGCATGGTGTTCTTTTTTTATATTATAATGAAGCGCGAGCTGTGTGCTCGAGTCTTCCTGCCTGTCGGCTCTGCTCATGGATGTATAATAAGGCTCTGCTGCTCCGCGATGATGGTCTAGCTTCAGCAGCCACATTACCTACGGGTGCGTTCGTTAATATTAACTGTGCGGTCCGGAGTCACTGTGGCACAGACTGGACCACTGGTGAACAGCTGTTAGAACGGGCCGTTCAGGTGTTCAGAGCAGAGCTCCCTGTTGGAGCGGCAGAGCCTGATGTGAACTGAAAAGTGTTTCTGTCGCAATATTATCGTTGAGCTAGCTAAGTAGCATACATTGTCACTATCTGCTAACGTTAGCTTTAGCCTTCGTTTTCTAATAGTTTTTTTTCATAGGCTATAAACGGAGGTGGTATAAGTATAGATCTTGTACTTGAGTAAAAGTAGAAGTACTCAGATCTTGTACTTGAGTAAAAGTAGAAGTACTCAGATCTTGTACTTGAGTAAAAGTAGAAGTACCAGAGTGTAGGAATACTCTGTTACAGTAAAAGTCCTGCATTCAAAATGTTCCTCAAGTAAAAGTAGAAAAGTATTCTCATCAAAATATAGTGAAAGTAGCGACAGTAAAAGTAGTCATTGTGCAGATTGGTCCATTTCAGAATAATATATATGATATGTTGTATAATGATTGATCATGAAAGTGTTCTCAAAGCTGGTAAAGGTGCAGCTAGTTTGAAGTACTTTGTATACTGCAGGGTAGCTGGTGGATTTACTCCAGGTGGAACTAAAGTCTGATTCAACACTTGATTAGATTTCACATCATTCATCCACATCTGTAAAGTAACTAAAGGTATTAAATACATGTAGTGGAGTAGAAGTACACCATTTACCTCTGAACTGTAGAAGAGAAGAAGAACAAAGTAGCAAAACATTGAAATACTTAAATAAAGTACAAGTATCTCAAAATTGTACCCAAGTAGGCCTATAGTACTTGAGTTTATGAATTTAGTTACTTTACACCAGGTGCCATAAAGATAGAAAGACTAAGCCTTGCACAGAGGCATGACAATAGATTTTCAAAATGCTCAACAGTGCTGCCAAAATTATAAACTGACTGCTACACAATTAAAATAAATGCTTTTATATATTTCTATTAGATGTGACTCTTTGGCGTTTCTGTTATTATTAACTGCTGCTTTAGTTGTTTTGACTGCTAAAATCCTCTGTTATTCCTCATTTTAAAGCCGATATTCCGTGGGGTCGGGGGGCTCGGGTCCTTGTCACCTTTCCATACCTGATGAGTTTGCATCCCTGATAATACTTAGTAAGGAGGCCATAATATTTTTGACTCATGGCTGAAGTTAAGTTTCTCCAGCTCTCCCCAGGTTGGCAAAAAAATGCATCTCAAAATGCATCAGATTGATGCTTTAAAATATGGAATATTCAACATTTTCTTCCGGGGGAGCATGCCCCCGGACCCCCCTAGAGGGATAATATCCTTCTCAACTTTTTCACCCCTGACCCGTTTTCATGCCTGTATTAAAGATGGCATAAGTAAGTATATATTGCACATAAAGCACATATTGCACATAGTTTGACGCATGGAAGCATCCTGAATGTGGGGGGGGGACATGTGGGGGGGGGGACATTTTTAACGGGGGGGTGTGGGGGTTTCCCCCCCACGAAAAAAAAAATAGATTTCCTGTAGGTGGTTGGGTAAATTTTGTAATTTCATCCAGTAGTAAAGAAAGGAAACATATTTGATTATTAATTCAGAGCCGTCTTTGAATTAATAAAAAGCAGTTTAAATGCCCATTTTTTGTACATTTATATACAACAATAAATATTTGTGAGTGCATTGAGAGATATTGGTGTGGAGAGTCATTTATATATAAATCGCAAAATACATTTGTGAATCCTTCTGTGAGCATTTATTAATATTGAGACTGATCTGACTCCATACAGATGTTAAGTTCACCTAGGAATGGTATTATTGACTTAAATGTTCAAATAAATGTGCTCTTCTGTCTATATTGGTCATATGATGCCCCTTGACTGAAATGTTTCCTGTTCAATATCCCCACTGACTTCCTTAACATTCTGGGATGAGAGTCCACATCACAATTTACTATAAACTGTCATTTCCCTTTCATCCCTCACCTCAGCAACGGACCTCTCTCCACTGTCCCTGTGTTCTGCTTCTGACTCACTCTCAAGCGCCTAGATGTCAAGAGAGGTGGTGAAGTGATCATTATTTATTGAGCAGTATACTCTTTCACATTGAATCATAACAAGTCATACTGAATGTAAATACAACTGACTCTAAAGTAAGTCCCCGTCTGTGACATTGGACATTTTGAAGACTCAAAGCCCCAAGCAGTAGGTAGAATATTAGCTAGTCTATATGTAATGTGCACAGAAAATAAATAGTTAACTGAATACTGGGATGGAAATTGCCTATAAGCACTCAGTAAAACATAAACACACACAAAAAACTTCTGAATGATAAGAAGTATAATTAAAACATAATGCACATTACCATTTTGAGAGAGAGTACCGAAGTTAAAGAA